AGCTTTCGGAGGTGTCTCACTTAATAATTCCGTTTATAAATCTTTCCTTGGTGCTCCAACAAACGCTGGAGTGGGTGCGGTAGGGGACAAGAGCTGCGAGGAAGGTTTGGTTTCAATAAACTCTATAGAAAATGGAATTGCTTTCTGATTCTTCCGAGAAAAGGGTTTTAAGATTTGGGGGTTTGTTGGTTGGGTTTTGTTTTTGTTTTGGTTTTTTTCCTCCACTTATTTATTAGTGACTTCTACTTGAAATTAGTTAAATACTTGGAGAACTGTGTGGTACTGTGTCAGAATATGCTGAGTAGTGCACATAAAGGCATCAAAACGTGCGATGATATTTATATCTTGTTAAAGCTGCGTGTTTTTCTAATGCGATTGCATTCTTGAGCCCTTTTGCCACTTTATAACAAAAAAAGACCGACATCAGTCCGCTCCCAGCAAACGGACACACATGGAGGACCTGAGCTGTGCTGTGTCCCCGAGTGGTAGATGCTGCTGTTCGTCCCCATGGGCGATGCCAGCCGGGAGGGCACAGGGCAGCCACTGCCTGTGACAGGATGGGCAACCAGACCTGAGCGAGGGAGGAACTGGTAACCCATCCGTTCAGAAAGGTTAACGAGTGCACGGTGCAGAAAAAAAAATGGTAAAAGCCTTTGAAACAGAAAATACTTAATTTGAAACAGTACTTCCTCAAATAGCCTCGTGCAGAAGATCAGATTTTACTGAGAGTTGTGCTGAGACCACAGTTTTGTACTCATTATTGCGTACAATTAATACAACAAATTGGAACTTCTCGCAAAACACCTTTGGTGCATCGCAGTCAAATAAATGATAAATTGCTTGCATATGTCTTCGTGCCCAAAGTTTACAAAAGCTCAGTCGGAGTGGTTATAGTGGTTGAAAATTAAATTTTGTCTCATACTCAAGATAGGTTTGTGTGTGTAAATAGCCTGTAGCTTAGCTCACAGCCTCTGACAGAGCTGGAGTATTTAATTTGAATTTCTTTAGCATTTTAATGAAGTAATATCTCATTCCTGACAAGACCTACATGTATGCTTATATTTATGCATAGCTTCATTGAAACCAATATAGTGTAAGCCTATAATGTATTAGCCAGTGGGACTGTCCATATGCATATTTCTTTATTAAGAAGATGAAATTGAGAATTATAGAAGACATAGTTGAGATACTTGAAATACTTGAGTCCCATCAGCCTTGTTTGTTAATGATATTTAACCCAGCTGTTGCCTGACTCTTGCTGTAGTTTTTCTACACATCCCTGCACGTAGGTGCAGTTTCTGGGTAGCATAGCTGGACTTTTGAAGAACACCTAAGAGCAAAGACCTACCACTAGCACGTTGCTAAAAGCTGGTCTTTAGGGTAAAAGAAAATTAAAAAAAGAGCGTTATGAAAGAAGAAACGAGCATCTACAGTTAAATTCCAGAATCTGAAGTTTCTTGTGCGTGATTTGAAATTGTTTGGGGGTTTGGTTTTTTTCCAAGCTCTTGCCACTCAAAGGCTGTCTTCAGCAGTGCTGTGCTGCTGTCCTCTGCACACCGTCTGTGACAAAGTTTGGGGCACCTCATGTGTGCCATCCAGGTCACCCTTCAAGCGCTGTAGCTTCCCCCCACCTCCTCACTGTAACAGAAGTAGATGTGAGAACACAAAATGGAAACGCCCCCCCAGAACAGAGCCGAGGTAGATTTTGCCAATTTGGAAAAACCACATTTTTCCCATCTTCCACATCAGCAGAGGTGAGCGACACCTCTTGTCTCATCCCAGCTCTGCTTCCATTGCTTCTGCTGCAGTGTGGACAAACCTTTGTTGGTTTGAAAGCAAATTGTTAGCTGTTTCTGCCAGGAACCCCGTTGCTCCCAGCGTGACATTAATGAGGAAAGTGCCTTTGGAGATTCTGCTTCACAGCTCGGAAGTAAATACAAGTTGGATAAAAACACAGGTGCGTGCTCATCAGCGAATTATCATCAATTACCCACGTGAGCAGCGCTGGGAGTGAGCACCTGGAGTTACTTACAAAGGATCTCTGAACTGGGGGTTGAAACAACTGCAGATTCGTGTTTAAATGACAGCGATCAGTCTCGTGTATTTCCAGAGCCCGAGCACAAAGCTTAAAGCGGGCACGGTCTAAGAAGAGACACAGGCTCATCGTTTACAGCGGAAATAAACTGCAGGGTGTGTATTTATTCATGCCCAAATACCTTTGGGAACGGGAGTCTGCAGAGCTGAGTTTCAGCAGGCAGGAGTCATGGCCCTGGCCTCGCCAGCGCCGATAACGGAGCTGCCCTGATCGCCGGGTGCCGGCGTGGGGCTTCCTGGTGAAGAAAGAGAGCGCATCAGACGGCAGCAGCCTGCCGTGGTTTTCCTCTTTCCCTTGACTTCCACTGCCAGGCAGGGGTGAGAGGTTCCCAGACCTTCTCACAGCCTGTCCTTGCCAGAGTCTGTGCCAGGTACAGCCAGGGCTGCGTGTGTAGGGTCTGCGATGGCCTCGTGCTAGCACCAAGCTCCTGGTTTGTGTGCCCCAAGATACTTTCCCGTATTCCTGTGTACGTATCTCAGTCTGGATTTTCGCTTTGTCCAGGTCACAGAACCCTACTGGTTCTCAAAATACTCAAGAGTTCACTGAGTGTTTTCTGAACGGCACAAGTGTGTGAAGCCTAACAGGAGGATCTGCAGATCCAAAGCAAGGTCAATTCAAGTGTTTTTATGGCCCCTCAGTGGATGTGTCAGAAAACTCTTCTGAATACGTGTGGACAGGCAAACAAAGGCAAAAACATTGACATTTTGTTAATGGAAGAGAATGTTAAAATGTCAATGAAAATGTCACACATATATTCCTGTCGTGACCACTTGAAGTAAACTCAGGGCCATTTAATGGAGTTTTATTCTACTGTTAAAGGCAAAGATGCAACTGTTTAAACAACTTTTAAGACAATTCAGAGCAAATGTTGCTCATCGATGTGGCGGGGAGGGAAACAAGATAAAGCAGTGGCTGTTTCAAGGTGTGTGCTTGTTGCTCCTTTGGTGACTGGCTTTAAGGGAGGTGGGATAAAATGGGATGGGATTCATTTTGTTTAAGTCTTTAACTGGCAGCTGGGTACCTTGGAGAATGCAACACTTGGCAGGAGGGTAGGTGCTCTGGCAGTGCTCTGAGCATCCCAACAGTGTCCTTCCTGGCTGGGTTCCTACACTCAGGGAATAATGGCTCCAGAGCTGGGTGAAATGTTCATTCTTGGTTTTAGAATCTGTGCCAGGAGTACAAATAGCCCATGTTATGTGAATACCTGTCTACTTGCTATGCAAATACCTGTCAATTTACGAAATTGTCGGCAACCTTTGGACTAATTTGTTTTACAATAGACTTGCTGTACAAGGGGCTTTGGAGGAACTTGCTTTACAAATTCAAGCTTGCTTTAGAAAGGTTCTTGCAGGGCTGCTGGTGGCTAATTATTTTTGATGGTTCTTAATCCATACTCTGTTCGAACAAGTAACTATGATGTAATAGGATTGTAGTCCAGAAGAGTCCTGTGTAACTTTTCAGATGAAATGTACATATTTTTACTTAAAAATGCTCAGAGGGACTGACTCAGGTGATTAGTGTGATGGGTAATGTTTCAGCCCTTAACCAGGGGTTTGTTGTGGTGGTGCTGGTTATTATAAATGACCTCGCTTCCCTTTGTTCTGTCACATGGCAGTGCTGCTGTTTACCAGAGGCCATCCCTCTTGCCACTCTACCTGGGCACCTTTTTCTCTTTTTCTTTTTTCTTTCAAGCTTTATTTCCCCTATCTATACCCACTCCTTATTGCCATTGTACCTGCATGCTAACTGTAAGGATGGAACCTTCTGTTGCTGTAGTCCAGCCTATAAGTTTCCATATATATTTATGAAAACATTTTTAAAATCGGACTAATCTTTTGATAGGGCTGTGAGGGAAAACTCCCAGTTCTCAGAATCCATTGAATTTGATTCCCAAGTTCCATTATTTTGAGTTAACAGCTTTTTTGTCTTTTCTTTAAAAAGCTGCTTGCACGACTCGAGGGCAGAAGTTCTCTGAAGAATCTTGAACCATACCTGTTTGCTGAGGAAGGATCTCCTGTTCATGGTAAAAATGTATCTTTATCCTCTTTATGGAAAAACATTAATAGGAAAGTATTCTCAGAGCAATATGACAGAGATAAGCATAGAAATAGATCTTTTTGCCCTGGATTCTGAATTTTAGTTGTTGATGTAGTTTTATGCAAACAGATGAATTGAAATAGTGCAAAGTCACCATTCTGAACATTATTAAATGGACTTTAAAATCTACTTTAGGATCAAAATGGCTTATATAGACCTTTGGTGAATAAATAGCAATTTCAAACTGGAGAGATCGGGCTGCCTCCCAGTGATGCTGGGACAACAAGCTTAAGGTAGATTCTTCTAGTGAGAAATTTTAAGGTCAAGATTGGATGTTTTAATGAAAGTTTTTAATGAAAGAAATTAGAACTAAACAGAAATGAGCACTTAGAAATTCATTGATTATTCAGGAGTTTGGACAGGTTTTCTGGATTGTGTGGAATTACATGGATTTCACAATGGCAGAGACTCCTGTGATCACACAAAAGAGAAATGCATAGTAAAAAAGGTGTCTGAGTGGCGAGCTGTGAGGGACTACAGTTGTTAATGTCTGAGTGAATGGATTTCATATGAAAAGTGCGTGGCTGTGGCCGTTATCAACACGCTTGTCTGTGGTTTGAATCCCCACAAATTACAGAATGTTCAGAAAAATTGCAGAAAAGGCAATAAAAGGAATGGGAATGATGGGATGAGCGATGATGTTCAGTCTACAAACACAGGCACTGTGAGACTATTCCTGTATTATTTTGCAGCACTTGAGAATACATTAGGGGCTTAGCAGTATATGATTCCTGCCTCTGGAAGTTTCAAACACGATATATCAAAGATAAAGGGCAAGGAAATACTGGCAAAGCCAGTGCAGATGGAGCAGAGAAGGTTATTTAAATACTCTCCATCCTAAACTGCTTTGTTACCCACACAAGAATGAAGAACTAGTAGTGAAACTGGTATATGCTTCAGAAGGCCCCTGAATTCTTAACAGTTTTTCTAAAAGATGAGATCTTTTTGTTTTGAAAAAAAATGCATTGACAGAAAATGCTGATCTTCAGTCTAGGTGTTTTTTGGGTTGGTTTTTGTTTTTTTTTTTTTGGTTTTTTTTTGGTTTTTTTTTGGTTGCCTTTTTTTTTTTTACAGACTTTACAAAAAGCAACTGTTTGAGACTAAACTGGCCATGTTCTGGTAGAGCAGATTGTAAGAATCCTTCTGGGGATCAGTAATTGCCCTCACCGTCACAGTCCACAGCATTACATAATTCCATCATCAAATTATTGGCTTTGATCTTAAAGCTGTGCGGGTTGTTCATGTCTGTCCAAAGACTGTTCCAGATCCTCAGTTCTAAGATGGCTGGAAACCTTCTAAATTCATCACTGGTTTCTTTGTGCCAACACAGTCATTGAGCTTTTAACAAATGGCAGCAGTTATTACCCATTTTGGTCATGCTTTTTGGCTGACATTAATGAAGCCACCTAACATATCAGCAGAGGTTTTTAGCTATATATACATAAATGGACTTCACCTTTTATTACATTTTTGCTTTGTCTTTTAATACCACAGTATTTATGGCAGTCCATGTGTTATTTTGATGTGTGTTCTCATTATTCAGTCTTAGCCTCCGTTGAAGACCTACCTCTCCATTTGTCATGAACGTGACTTTTAGTAGGTCACTGTGGAACACTGTAATACATTGCCCGTGAAGTCCACACTGAACAGCTCTTAATGTAAAATGCTATGATTAAAGCAGTGCAAAGAACTGAAATATTCTTTTTCCTGATGGTATTTGAAACAACCATAAATATGAAGTTTCAGTGGACTATCCAAAAATTGTGTCATAGTTGAGTGTTTGTAACATGTATGTCAGAGCACTATAAAATAGGAACAGCTAATAGAGGTACTGCTGAGATATTCTCGTCAGTGCTCCTAATTATGATGGGCTTGTGTATTTAAGAGCACATAAGCATATTAATTACATACCATTTGAAGGCTTCTGGAATGGAGAAAAAGTGACATGAGCTTTAAATAATCTTCCACTATTGCCAGTTGTGTTTCTCCTGTGCCACTGGTATGACGGTGTGGGTGTCGTGTAAAGCTCTGACATTCAGCAACACTATGACACCCAACGTTTACTTGGTGTCAGTATTAGGCCTTTCTACTTCACTTATAAGTGGTACAAATATTAGTGCCAGTCTCTGCACAATATTGTAAATTACTCGTCCAGTGACTTCAAGGTATCTGATGCTGTGGAACCTGCAGAGTTACTGCTGAGTATTGCAGGAGCCTGTTTGTGACGGCAGCGTCAGAGAACAGCGTAACCAGCGCTTCATTGTGTAATGATTGCAGGCAAAACCTAAGGCTCTTCTCCGTCAAAAGGCAACACTGAATTGATGACCAGGACTGAGCACAGTGTTCCAGTTAAAAATATATTTTTAATATAGAAATAGTGTTACAGAAATAGTTACATTTATCCTGTATGCCATTGCATAGCAGTGGGCTGTCGTGCTCTTTATAAACTCTGCCCATAGTGGGCCAGTGCAGGCTGCTATGAGCCAAGCACCATGTTGGGTGACTCCTTAAAATGTACTTCTTGAATTTCTCAGTGCTGAATGCCATATTAAATGATTCTGTTCATCCATCTTGATCTGTTAAATCTTCACAATCTTTATTAAGTCTTTATTAACCCAATTAGTTTTTCTACACATTTTGCAAAGCTAATGGAATGTTCATCTACTGATATGTTTAATGTTGGGCAGCACCAGTTCTAACAGGAAAATTTTCTGTTAACTTTTTTCGATATTAAAGTTCTGTTCCTACTCATGTCTCTTGGGCTGTTTTCATCCTATGACAGTATCTTTTCACTAATCCTCCTTTCCAAGTTATTTGGACATTAATGGATGATGCCGGTACTGGTCCCTGAGTTTCTTCCATGTCCTGTTGTGAGGGTATCAAAGGCTTGTTGAACATGCTGCTGGCCACGCTTCCTCCTGTGCTGTGTCATGGTTTGTCCTCTCTGATCCAGAAGGATGCATTTTCCCTCTTATCTTACTGGAACAACCCGCTTGCTAATGTAATGAAACCCAACATTTATAGACATGGCTATAAACAGCTTCTGGTTTGCCCCCGTTCTTCTTGTGGGCAGCCTCTCTGGTAATCGGGAAGGCACAGAGATCCCCAGCTCTCCTGAGGGCTTTGTGCAGTCTGAGCTGTTTCTCTTTTCGGGGTAACTTAAGTGTTCTGGTCAAACTGCAGCCCAGATGTGTTTCTTGTGCAGCAGTGTTGAACAAGCTCTGAAGGGTGCTTGGCTGTCTTGCTGTCAAAATTTATTAACTGCCACCACGAAAACTCCTCTAAGAATGATTTTTTCATTCAGCTGAAAATTTTTACCTCAGTAAATTTGTTTGTTCTGCCAATAAAAGCTCATCCAGTGTTATTCTGTAACACACAGACGTCCTGATGGACCATCTTCAGATGGATGAAGTCAAGCATCTATTTCACAGAGTAACTTTCTGAAGTCATTGCTAAACAGTAACTCAATTTGCACACTGCTGCTTCTGAGTGGCCATATGAGTTGCTGTTTTTTCTTCAGTCATATTTGGCTGTAAAGGTGGGTGAAGCAACCTGTGGTGCCCAGTGGCCCAACTCAGTCGTCAGTCTGGATTCAGAAGTGCCACTCAGGGTGGCAGAAGTCTGTGCTGAAGCCAGTGGCAGAAAGAAGACACTTTGTTCCTTCACAGGAAGTGTCCTATACAATTGTTCTAAAATACCTCAGTAGACAAGATGAGAGGGAATGACCTAGCCAGCACGTTTAGGAGGAGTTCCTCCAAGCTGGTATCTTCTCCTAACGGGGCGTGGTTACGTCACTGGCACAGTCCATGTGACAGCAGAGCAGCTGGTGGCTGCAGGTGGCAGAGCTGGACACTGCGACCTCTGAACAGGAAGAGAAAATGAAAACTGGTGTCATAGGAAGTGAAGTCATCTTTCATCTCTGAAGCTGGGAGAGCCGTTCAGAACAGATGAGTGAGGGTTTGGGAAGCAATCGAGCTTTTCAGTAACTTTCAAAGTACCAGAAATTCATAAAAATGGAATTGCAGTTGTGTAGCAGGGGTTTCATTACGGAGAGGTGGGTAGTCTGAGTGTCACTGAAACGGGCACAATTGTCACATCAGGTGTAAATTGCTTCCCTCTCTTGCAATGGGTGAAGCAAGAGCTTGGTTTCTTCCCCACCATCCTCCACCCCTCACCCCAAGCTGCATCTTGACATTATGTGCACTTACAAACAAGGACATCCAAGGACATCCTCTGGACTTTGAGTAATGACTTGAAAAATCCTGTTAATTCAGCCAGGCACAGACGTGTTAAAGTGAAGCTGGAATTAGTTCTCTACTCTTGCATCTCCCCTGTGAAAAGCTGTTGTGCCATTTGCACTTGCCAAGGCCACAGAAATCTCTCACCTTCCTGCAGTTCTAGTTGTGTGATTCTCCTTACTGCATGTCTTCACCCTTCTGCCTAAAATCCAAAATGCTATAAATAAATAATCCAGTTTCCAAAACTGGAAATTTATAAAGAGCAACTAATAAAATAACCTTTTTTAGAGTCTTGCTCTAAGACATCAGAAGACTTTAGAGTATCTTGCATTCACATCCGACAGAAGAACTGGTTTCCTAGTAGAGTGTAAAGCTTTTTTTAATTAACATCTTAAATTTATGTGATATGATATGAATACATCTTTATTGCCCCACGTGGATCAGGCAGTTAGGCCGAGTGTTTATGAAGAGAGATCCTTTGCCTCAGACAGCAGAGTCGTTGCCTGAAGGAATCCTAGTCAGTGAAAGAATCTGTGAATCCCCCATGTCAAAAGAAGCAGTTTCATCTCATGGTTGCCCCAGAAGGATCTAAGTGCTGCAGAAATCTGCTGGCCTTCTCTTTACTGGTCCCAGACTCCTGGTGGGATCCCGTGACGTGTGCAGATACTGGACAAGCATTCAGCAGGCGTGAGATGCTGAAGGACAACCTGTGCTACCAAAGGAGGCGTGCCAACATGGTTTCGACCTCCAATAAGTCACCTTTTTGTTTTGCTCCTGCTCTGCTTTTTTATGTCTTAATTCTGTGTGCAGAGTGTTAATAGGTGTTTTCTTAGCTGGCTCTGTGCACCAGCTTCCTTTTCAGCCTCCGTTACCCACCATATCAGATGAGATCCGGTTGCCAACCTTTTATTGCTGTCCGTGTCCTGGGCGCCATTGGCAGGGTTGGGTTTTTTCTTTCAACCTTCATTCCTGGTTGATCTTCTTCACTTTAGAGCCCTTCATTGAAAATGTCAGGTTTATTTTGGTAGATGCTAACAAGGATTTAAACAACGTTACCGATATCAAACTTTCAAAAATGGGTTTTGCTGTTGGTGGAATAGTGAGTATTGGTTCAGTAAATGCTGAAAACTGGCTCGGAGATGTAAATGCTCTTACCTGACAACTTGCTGCTTTGTTTTTGAACAGGGGATGTCATTGAATTCCACGGTGCAGAAGGAACAGGAAAAACAGAAATGCTGTATCACCTGGTAGCCCGCTGCATCATGCCCAGGCCGGGGGGGGGGCTGGGGGTGGAGGTCCTGTTCATTGACACGGATTACCACTTTGACTTGCTGCGTCTCGTCACCATTCTTGAGAGCAGACTGGCACAGAGGACGGAAGAAGTGATAAAGCAGTGCCTGGGAAGGCTTTTCCTTGTGAACTGCAGCAGCAGCACACAGTTACTCCTCACTCTCTACTCTTTAGAAAGCATGTTTTGCTCTCACCCCTCTCTCTGCCTTTTGATTTTAGATAGCATATCAGCTTTTTACTGGATAGACAGAAGCAATGGAGGGGAGAGTCTTAACTTGCAGGAGCAGAATCTGAAGAAATGTGCTAACTTGCTTGAAAAGCTTGTGAGAGAGCATCACTTGGCCCTCTTTGCAACCACCCAGACGCTTATGCAGAAATCTACAAACTCTGCAGAAAGCTCTTTTCCTTTAAAACTTCACCATGAAGCTGATACAGACTACAGACCTTATCTTTGTAAATCATGGCAACAAATGGTAACCCACAGGATATTTTTCTCCAAGCAGTGTAATTCTGGCAACAGCAAAAGTTTCACAGTCGTTTCTTGCCACCTCAAAAGAAACCACATAGTAAAACGCTCGTTTAGTGTGGCGGAATGCGGAGTTCAGTTTTAACTTTGTTTTTTAACTGTATAGCATATCCTGGTGCTTAAGGCCTGATCAGGCCCAAGTAGGTTCTGGTACCTTTTAAAATAATTGGTTGCTGCTGGGCAATTAAGAATTTTTGTCACTATTTTCTTAAAACTTAGTGAAGGGCAGGAAATGGTAAAATTTTTGAATTACTGTAGACATTCAGTCCAAACTAGTGAAGAATGTTGAAATTGCTTGTTTGCACTAAATGCATAAAGAGATTAAATCAAGACAATGATAACCAAAGACATTTTAAACTCCTGGTATCCTTCAGTAATCCAGCCTATGTGATAGGTGGCTGAGTGCACTGACTCCATGTCTGGGCCTTCCTGCCTTACACGCCTCCTTGGCCACGCTGCGGAAACAGGAGCCTAGTTGTGCGTGGGGGGGCTGCAAAAAGGCCAGTCTTTGCTCTTGATAAATTCTGGTCTTGGTTTAGTCCCAGTAGCCCAGGGCACATAAAATGCATTTGCAACTTTACCTGAATAAAAGGATTCATTTTCACAGCCTGTTAGATAGTGGTAGTCCTGACCAAGCTTCTCCAAGCTCACAGCCTCTCTGATGACGTTGGTGTCTGCTTGGAGAAGCAAGGACTGCAGGTGTTCTGACCCTTACAAACATCTGGGTTTGAAGAATCTACAGCTACTGCAGAAATAGAGGCCTGATTTCCACAACTGAAGGAAAACTACAGACCCAGCTTTGGGTACTTGTGAGTTTGTGCTGTTTAGTCTTTGAAAATAATGAAGTGTTGGTTATGGGTTGTTTTGGGTGTGGGTTTTTTTTTTTTTTTGTGTTTTTTTTTTGTGTTTGTTTTTTTTTCTTTTAGATGTATGCACAGACATTTTTTTGTATCTGCCCTCCCACTTCTTTCCCTTCCCCCAGTCTCTCCAAGAAATCCAGGAATGCAATGCCTCTGGCCTTTACCACTATGTACATGCCATGCCTCTGGTCTTTACCAATATGTACTTACCACATGTAGAGCATTTGCGTGCAGGATTTGGCATGCAACGTGTTGCAACTCTGGCAAAGAAGATTCAGAACTTATGGGAAATGCCCTACAGTTCTGGCAAAGAATACCATATTATTTATTAACCTAGAGTGCCCTTTGAAAGCTTCAAAGTGCTTTACAAGAAAGAAAATTGCACACAGTACATTATTTAATACAAAAACTTACATTAGCTTACAAATTTAAATTACTCAAACAAGGGGAAAATATTTCTCACAGCAATATTCGTTCAGTCATGTTGCGCAGCACGTTTTATAGTTTAGATTGGACAGATTATTAACAAAAATGCATATTAAGAAGTATCTAGCACAGACTCTGTTTGAGGAAGATGCTAAAGAAGCTCTGCTGTGAGACACCTTTCAGTGTCCTGACTCCTGAAGGCAGCTGTTTCAAGCTGAATGTGTACCTGGATTCCCAGCTGCGTACAGCTCAGCGTGCTCACCCAGACTTGTGTACGTCGAGCTAGGAGCACGGATCTATACTCATCTTCTCAGAATCTGGCATTGCTGAGTGTTCTAACAGCAGCCAGTACCAAAGGTTTTGGGAGGAGTGTGAGGAGAATTACCACTTTCCACTGGCGTGGGGAGCTCCTGACCAGAGCCTGTGGTCAGACCAGTGTTTGATGGCCACTGATCAGACCTATCCTCCATGAATTCATCTAGTCCACTTTTAAGGTACTTACCCTCTCAGGTTCCACCACGTCTTCTCACAGTGAGTTCAGTTCTGTTTTTCTTTCTGTGGGGAAACTTCTGCTTCCCTCCCCACTCCTCATTTTAAACTTGCCAGCTGGTGACTTCCTCAAGCCATCGGTTCTCTTACTGTGACAAATGAGAGAACTTGGCCTTGCCATCATCTCCACAAAGGTGGTGATTTTATAGCCTGTCATTTCATTTGTGCTTTCTCTTCCATCATCACCATTATCTGTTTTATTTCAGAACTTGCACAAGTACACAAATACATGAAAAACAAATTAACCATTCAGCCTGGGCTGGCCCCAAGTTAGATGGTTTTACATGAGAAGACATTTCCACTGGGAATTACTCTAAAAGGCATACTTGAATTTTCTGTAACAAACTGGGAATATCCAAGTAGAACTAAAGAACTTTTAAATGTGAAAATTATAGGAATACATGAATTCTAGTAGAAAAAAAAAATCCCCTTTTCTGTTGGAGAATACAGTTAACTGCTTCATAAAATCATTCTTGCTAAAAAATTTGTTATAGGAAAAAAAAACAATGGAAATGTTCCAGCATTCCTGTCTGGAAAAAAGCTCTTCTGTTATTCACAGTGTAGCTTATATTTTGCATTGTAATGTAAAAGAAGTGCCTAGATTGAAATGAAGCCAAAGTTCTAATTGATCAAAAAGAGCACCTCGGGAAATTTTGAAATTTCCCAGTTTTATTTTTACTTTGAATGCAGACAGATTTTTTTAATTCTTTGGTAATTGCAATATTCATGCTCTGCACATTAGTTTTAGGTGTAGAGCAAGCTGAGCTTCCAGAGCTGCTCTGCCTGTGCAGATCCCTGCAAGTTTGCAGCAGTGATAGGTGGTATGCACTCTGGGAGTGACTGACCTCAGCCTCTGCCAAAATCACACCATTTGGAAAAATGAACCTTTAAGATCTAAGTCTAAGAAAGATGCAGTAAAAGTGGCAGTTTTGTGTGTACTTTCATGAATTGTGGGTATTAAAAGTGGGTTTTACCATTTTCTCAAACGGAGAATTTTCTCCATTAAAACTCCATAGAGATTGTAGCTGTGGAGAATGCAGTTTCTCCTCCTGAGCCTGGAACAGTGTATGAAAGGTGTCATCATATTTAGTGTGTAATGTAGGGTATTTCACCGAGCCCTGAGTTACTGCCCTGTCTGCAGCCCAGTGTATAACCTGGGGTGACCTGTGCTGCTGCAGCTCAGTCTCCCAGGGGGGAAACACATTTTGGATTAGCAGGTCTGTGCCACTGGAAACTGCCCTGCAAAAGAGAACTGCTGCCACATGCGAAGTGTGAGGATTGAATGCATGTATTCCCAATCTCTTAATTTATCCAGGTATTTCTTAGAAATCAAAATCATTCCATGTCAAGGTCATGGTTCTTCAGCTCAGTGTTGTATTATGAAGGCTCCTGTAGGCACAGGAACTTTCTACATTCTTTAAGAGTTTTTGTTGTTTGTGTCATATGCAACATCAGATTAAAGCAACAAGCTTGAAATAAAGAGGAACTAGTTCACCCTTTTTTCCTCATCCTTTTTATAGTGAGTTTTTTAGCTAAAACAAATCAAAGTATTTTGCAGGTTTTATATTTGATTTTTAATAAAGCAGTATTTCTATGGACACCTGGGAAGAAAACGTCATTTTTATATTCAGCAAAATGTTCTTTGTATTCCTAGACATTTTATAGAGCAAATAAAATACAGATAACAGTTTGTTTGGTTTCAGTTTGTGCTTGCACATAAAATTCAGGTTTCCTTTTTCTTGCATAACGGATGCCAACCATTCAATTTTTCAGAGAGTTTGGAAATAACAGAAGATAAAGATTCTCATGTGGAAACATACCTGCAGTTGTATTTTTACATTTGGCAGTAGAAAAGCCTTTCAGATGGGGAAAGGAGCATCAGTACAATGCATCTAGATCATCTGCTGGATAGAAAACTCTGATGCCCTGCAGCAGGCTCTGAAGTTAAAGGTCCAGCCAGCCCTGTGCTGAAAGGAGACAGCAGAATAACACTGAGCTAGGAGTGACACGTAGTACAATAAAAAGTTCCTTGAACTGTTAAATAACATTTTTAGCATGGTAAAGCTTTCAAATAAAAGGTTAGCCATAGCTGACCTGCAGGTTCTTCCTGCCAAGGAATGAAACCGGTGATGTATTCCACTATGTAGCTGTTGATTCATAGAATCGCAGAATAGTTTGGATTGGGAAGGACCTTAAAGATGTTCTAGCTCCAACCTCCCTGCCATGGGCAGGGGCATCTCCCACTGAATCAGGTTGCTCAAAGCCCCACCCAGCCTGGCCTTGAACACTTCTGAGGTGGGGACTCCACAACTCTTGAGCAACTTGTTCTAGCACCTCACCACCCTCAGAGTGAAGAATTTCTTCCTAATATCTAACCTAAATTTACCCTCTTTCACTTTAAAACTGTGACCCCTCATCCTATCCCTACACTCCCTGATGTAGAGTCCCTCCCCAGCTTTCCAGTAGGCCCCTTTAAGTACTGGAAGGCTGCTGTAAGGTCTCCCTAGAGCCTTCTCCTCTCCATATTTATAATGAAGACATAAACCCCTGCTTCCCTAGACCCAAGAGGAATTAAATGTAAAAACAGACTTCCTTTTTTTATGTGCTTTTTTTTTCCTTCCAGCCCTCGGCACCTTCCCAACAGTCAGCACTTAGCTCCAGAAGCACTCTCACAGCTTTATGTCAGGACTGTGCTTTACTGGAAACAGGGACTTTTCTCCTTTGCTGGGAGTTTACCCCTCCCTTACTAGTGCAGGCTGGAATATCTGAACATAAAAGATGGCACCCGTGTGACACATCCATGTCACTGCTGAATAGCTGTGGAGACTTCATTCTAGTTGCACTCAGGAGTAACATCACACTGGAGCGGATGATTCTGAAGAAACGTGGCTGTGACTTGACTTGGGAAAACTTTGGCAGCCTTCCCTCTGCTGTCCCACACTACTTTGCTTCCTGACCCAACCAACTGGTCGGTGTACCTGTGTGGGCCTCGGTGCTCAAGGACAGCAGTGACAAGGTGTCACTGCCTCGCCAAGTGCTGGTGAACAGCCATCTTCTGGATCTTGGCACCCTCACTGCAGGACTTGGCACAACCACTACAGTTTTTAATTTAAACCACTTGTCAGGATTCTTTCTCAACATCTAGTTGGGCCTGTGCTAAAGACCTCCTTGCCTTGGGGCGAGATATGAAAGAGAAGAAATATTTGGTTTGATAATAAGAAGGACAAGATTTTTAGGCAATTGCTACAAA